GTAAAGAAATTGAAGCTCAGAGGGGATAAATAACTTATCCAAGGGTTCACAAGTAGTAAGGAGCTGAGCTGTGCTTTGAGACCATGATTTAACTACTTGAAACCCTTTGGTCTTTCTGTTCTAATAAAAAAAGAAAAATAATTTGCTATAACTGCTTTGGAAGATATCACCTTCCAAAACATTTTGCTGAACACTTCATTATTTTTTGGTAGATATCATGCAAAGTAGTTAAGTAAGATAACTTAGCTCTATCTTCAACTCCCTGAAAGAGAACCCAAACTGCAGTTGTGTATGACATGGGCTAACACTCATATGGGGATGATTGAGGAAGTAAGATAACACATGGAAAAGCACAACACACATATAAGGGGGGGTAATGCCCAAAGAAAGAAGTATTACAACACAGGCAGCCCTGGGAGACAATCTCAGAAAACACTAGAGCAGAAGGAAATTGTCATCTCTCTTGTAATCAAGGATCAATAATGAAGACATTTCATCACTATGAACTACTTGACTGATTTCTAGTCTGAGGGACTAGAAATAGGGAGAAATTGTGGACAACCATATAGTGACTCTTAGCACACACCTGTTTTGACCCATCCAAACTAGCAAAATAATTTTAAACTTCAGAGTTCCAAACCATCAAGCTACACAGAGGAAACTTTTAGATAAGGAGGAAAAATAACTCATCACTTCCATCACAATGCATAATTCTAAATCAATCATTCTCCTAATTTTTAAATTGTTCAACATTCAGTTTCTAAGGAAAAAGTAAGCCTTGCAGAAATTGTGAAACCACCTCACACTGTCCATACACATCAGCACCATGCAAATTTTCCTCCACTGCAATCGATCTTCCAGGTGGATTTGAAGCTGAATTGGTCCAGAATGGGCAAGAGTAGCAGGAAGCAGACAAGGTGTAATTGCTGGTCCTTCCACCAGAGCACCAACCTGCCTGCTTGTTATCCCAGTCTCAGGATAACAAGCCTGGGAGAAACAATTCAAGAGTGATGGGAAAATCATGGAGGTGTAGCATGAATGACAACTCTCTAATTAGTCCACCACTTTTAACATTATACACCTGCAGCCTATTAGAAAGGATGTGTGTGTGTGTGTGTGTGTGTGTACAAACACCAGGAAGCGTATGCTAGGCAAGTACTCTAACACTGAGTTACACTCCCAGCCTCTTTTATTTATTAATTTTTTGGAAACAGGGTCTCCCTCAGTTGCCCATGCTGGCCTCAAACTTGTGATCCTTCTGCCTTAACCTCGCAAGTAGCTGGGATTGGAGGTATGCATCAACACGCCCAGCTAGAAAGGCTTTTTTCTATCAAATATTTTACTAATCTTACTGTATAAGGTATAAGTGAACAAAATTTCACAAGGGTCAAAGAGCCAGTTTTGACAGGTCCTTCTCACAAAATGACTTACAAACCACTACTCCCCATGTGTGCACATTACCCAACATGACACCAGACACAAAGTGCACAATATGTACTCTGCCAACAGAGCAGTACGCAATACTGTTGAAGAGTACATATTGTGCACTTTGTGTCTGGTGTCATGTTGGGTAATGTGCACATATGTGCTCTAGAACCATATTCTTCTAAACAACTGCCTATCTGACATGTCCGCTTGGGTGCCTAAAAAGCATCTCAAGACTTAACAACAGCCAAAGCATGATCATTCAACCATACTCCACACACACACACACCAAATGTGCACCTCCCCAAACATTCCCAATCTCTGCACCTCCCCAAACATCCACTCAGTTGCTCCTAAGAAAACAATGGTATCTTTGAGTTTTCTTTCAACCATCCACTCTGTGGCAATCTTGTCCATTCCAACTCCAAATCCATCCAATTTCTCTTTTTGCAGCCACCCTAGTCCTAATCACCACTGCTCTTGCCTCCTTTCATTTCTCTCTGATCCCATTACCTAGCCCTTCCCCACACATCAAGTCTACTCCATAGGGTAGTCAAGGCAATTTGTCAGTCCTTGGTTTAAAAGGCTGCCAGACTTCATAATGCCCTCAAAATAAAATTCAATGGTAGAGCCCTTGCCTACCATGCACAAGGCCTGATTTTGATGCCCAGCTCTAAAAAAAATAATATAAAGTTTAATCTTAAACTTCAACATGTCCTAAAAGATCCTTTATTATCTAGCCCCAACCTATTTCCTATCTTTGCTTTACAGCACTCATCCCTAGCCATTCCCCTGTCTTTATCTACCAGTCCTCAACCACATGACTGTCACTGTACTAGCTTACCAATGTTCTCTATGTTCCCAGTTCCTGTTCCAAAGACTTTCAACTTACTATTCCTTCTTTTTGGAAGGCAGTGCCCAGACCCAGATCTACCCAAAGACATTCTTCAACTGTCTTCTGAGGCTTTTCTACAATATTCCATCAAATATTACACACTCTTCATCACATGTGTTTTCTCTATTTTCTTCATGGGAGCAGGAATCTTTTCTGTTTTATTCAGTATTACAACCCCGGGACCTAGCACATAGCAAGTGTCCAATTATTTCCATGAATTCAACCAGCATAAAAGCATCTGCAATGTACTAATCACTATTCTAGGTGACAAAGACAGTAGTAGACAAGAGAGAGAGAGATCTGGCTCTCATAATGGAACTTTACTCTCTAGGGAGAGCAGATTAACAAATAATAAGGGGTGAGATTGAGTGAGAGGCCCCAAGAAGCAGGAGCCTGCAGGCATTAGCTGCTAACACTTTAGTTAGCTTTCTCAGCTACAGAAGCCAACAGCTTACACAAACCCCACCCACCAACTAGGGGAAAATTCAGTATGGTCTCAAACTCTGGTTTCAATAAGTAGCAAAAAAAAAAAAAAAGGGGGGGGGGGGGGGCAGCGGTGGTAAGGGAAATGGAGAGAAGGAAGGGTACTCTTTTATGTAGGGTGATCAAAGAAGACCTTGCTGGTATAACGGCTTTTGGGGAGAGATCTGAAAGATATAAGGAACCAAACAAGTGAGCCATGGTTACCTTCCTCAAGCAGAGAAATAACACACGCAAAGGCACTGAGGAGCAATCTAGTTAGATGCCAAAGGAATAGCAGGATCTCATTATGGCACCTAATGAATAGGTGAGTAGTATGAGATGAGGTCCAGTGGAGGGCTTTATAGGTCAGTAAAAAGACTTGGACTTTACTCATCAACCGAGAAGTTTTTGGAGGATTTTGGGAAAGCTCACACAACATTATTTAAGTTTTAAAAGAACTCCTCTAGCTGTCCAAAGACTGCAAGGACCACGGTTAGAAAGATAGTGGCTTGCAAAGGAAAATAAGAAGGGGTTGTATTCTGAAATATATATTTAAGTAGAATCAGTAGGATTTTCTGGCAGATTGTGGGGTATGAGAAAAAAAGGAGGATCACTCCACAACTATTAGCTTATGCTCCTTTAATAATAGAGTTCTATTTACTTCTAGAGCAAAGAGAAAATGAAGATTTGGTTTGGGGCACCTTGAGTGTGACTGAGATCTTTACTGGTCATCTAAGTGGTGACTTCCAGAAGTCTAATGGATGTACAAATCTGGAAATTAGAAGATACACCTGGACTGAAGATCTTTATACCATATTTGCTTTTGATAGTTCTACTTACATACACATGAAGCTGAATGAAATCACCTGGCTGCAGGGGGAGGTGGGTACAGGAGAGGTCCTATAACTGATCCCTGTGGCACATTCCAACATTTAAAAATTTTAAAGACGAAAAAGTAGTAAAGACTAAGAAATAATACCCAGTGAGGAGGAAGGCAAGAGAGTTTTGCTGGAATTAATCTCAGATTTTGAAATCTTAACTGCCATTAATTAAAGCTTTTTTATTTTTTATTATTTATGGACACAATATATTTATTCTTATGTGGCACTGAGGATCAAAGCCAGTGTCTCACAGTATGGGGCAAGTACTCTACCAATGAGCTACAGCCCCAGTCCCACTAATTAAAGTTTTAAAATCACAGAATCCAGTGAATACAGATAACCTCCGGGAAACTGACATTCTCTCACCAGGAATGATACTCTAGATTTTTTCCTTCATGCTTAGAAAATAACAAGGTCTTCCATTTCTTAAGCAAATTACTCTCTACTCATTCCTTCATACACTTGTAACAGGGGTTTACTTGATGTTTTGATTACATCCTTGTGTCTTTGAAACTTATGTTTCTTTCTTTTCCCCAATCTTATTTTCCCTAAATTTCTCCCTGATCATCTTTTCCCTAAACTTCTTCCTTATCTCTCCTCCCTAATCTCATTTTCTCTGAATCACTTCTATAAAAGCTCCCTATTCCTGCGGATGGGCAGAATCACAGACTTTAGGGCAGGAGTTCCTGTTTCTCTTTTGCTAGCAAAGCAATAAACCTTTTTCCATTTTCTCAAAACCGTGACCTCGTTAATGGACTGGCACTGGGGACAAGGACCAAGCTTTAGCAACACACTGATTTACTGCATGTAAGATTCTAAGTTTGAACCAGGGGAAAATGCAGATAAATAAACTCATTGTCTCTAACCTTAACTCATTTCTATGGAGAGGAAAGAAAAACAATGACAACAACTCAGCTAGAAGTTGGTCAAGAGAACACTACAGATTAAGTGACACCACGTGGGTGACAGAAGTAGGTCAGAGGGTACTGCACCAGGTGAACCCAGTCTGATAATCAGCCATCCAAGAGACTGGCAACTATCATTGACTTGACTTCTCTTTGCCTCCTTCACTGAACGCGGAGCGCGGGAAGCGCTAGCTTACTCAACAGGTGAATTTAGTCCTTTTCCACCAGGCCAAACCCTGTCTCCAACTACCCAAGCCCTAGCTCTGGCCCCAGGGCCTCCCGGGGCCCACAGGACTCCACCCTAAACCGCTGGAGTCGGACGCACTACAAATCCCACCAGGCCCCGCGCGCGCACACACACGCCGCCGCCTGCCCCGCCACCGCGGGGCCGTCTGGGGCCCGTAGTCTCCATTCCTCAACGCCAGCCAGTACCTGGAAGCGATAGAGGAAAGCTTCGGGCCAGAGGAAGAAGTAGGCTGGGCTGATGAGGCCGAGTTTGCCGACCAAGGGGACCGCGACGGTGGCAGCGAACCAGTAGCGCGTGATGATCGGGATGCTCCTGAACCAGTCCCCGATGTCCGACATCTTGGCCTCTCAAGTCGCCAGGATGCGCACAGCCGCGGGTCTGTCCGTGCGGGCACCCTCACTACGCGGCCGGCTCAGCGAGTGGAAGGTGTCGAGGCGGAAGCCGCCGAAGCCGCGGTGCGGAAGGCGGAGACCGGCAGACGTGGCGCCACCGAATTCGGACGAGCGAGGCAGCGTTCTGAAACGAAACTTCCCCTTCCGGCGCCGCGAATCACGTGACCCGACGTCCCGCGGCTTAAAGGGCAAGCGCTGATATTACTGCAGGCCCGGGGCTCGGCGTTCCGGGGCGGGGCCAGAAGACCACATGCCTGGGAGAAAACAGTAGTTGCCAGAAGCAACAGCAAATGCTCCAACCAATGGCGAGACCGAAGGCTCTTAACCTAGTTCTTGCCCCGAGTAGTAATCCTAAATCGGTGCGCCTGGAGGATATTTAAAGGGGCAGGGGAAAAAAAACGTGACCAGGTCCTCATTTGTTCACTCACTGGACACTTATTTCAGGCAGGGTTCTAGACATTGGGGATGCTGTGGCTGTCAGCCCTGTCGTGGTATCGTTTCTTCTGGAGCTTACATTTTTGTGAGCATAAATAATAAATGAATAATGGAATAAGATCATTTCACAGCAGAATAAGGAAAATAAAATAAGATGATGACGTAGAGTGACAGGGTGAGGTGGAGGCTTGTGAGGAGGGATGGCTACTTTATAGGAGAATGGCCAGGTCCCAGGAGGTGGCCTTTAAGCAGCACCAACAAGGTAAAGATCTGAAGAAAGGGATTTACACGTATATACACACATATATACAATTTACACGTATATATACATATATATATTCCACTCACTGAAATAATTTCAAACAGCAAAATTTCCAACATTCTGTTATTTTTTAAAAAATAGCATCCTGAGGGCTGGGATTGTGGCTCAGTGGTAGAGCACTCGCCTAGCACAGGCAGGACCCGGGTTCTATCCTCAGCACCATATAAAAATAAAGGCATTGTGTTGTGTCCATCTACACCTAAAAAAATAAATATTTTTTAAAAATTAACATCCTGTTTTTTATGCTAATTAGTAAACCTGTTTTTATAGAATAGAAAGAAACATTCCACAGTTTAATAAAAGGATACAACTTACGGGGACCTAAGGTTATCAAGCATATGAATTTGTGAAAAAATTCTCATTCATGCACAGCTTCTGGGACTATAAATTGGTACAAGTTTATACTACCTTTATTATTTGGTATAAAGTGAAAGCTAGAGAGTTGTATAAATAATAGATAATACTTGGAGATATTGCGTGAGGTTCCTTCTCTGCATCTCCCCATCACCACCTCTACTACCCATTTTACCTGACATATAATGAGAAAAATGGGTTAACTAGCTTAGGCTGAGAGCTAAGTAAAGTTCCTCTGATGAATTCATAAGTCCATGTGCATGAGAAAACGATGAGAACAAGAACAACATGCAGCCAGTGTCTGGTAGGTTTATTTCTAGGCTGTGCTCTCAAATGCTCTGGAATTCAGCTTTAAAAACACTGAAATTTATGTTGTGGCAACACCATTTATTAGCAAAACATGCTGTAAATTTACTAAGCCCCTTGATCTTCAGTTTATTTATCTGTAAATGGTAGTAGGTAATACTAGCATGGGACTCATATAGCTATTATGAGAATTTAAATGAGAAAACTTTATCCTCAGCACTTGAGGCAGTATTAATGTTATTATTATTCTCTTTTTTGCTTAGTTGTCTTTTTAAAATGTTTTACAATAAAAAATGTATTATTTTGTACTTTTTAAAAAGTTAATTAGAAAGTGTATTTATCTGCTCACAAATTATCATACCCCAAGGATAGAGCATTGGTTGCCCAGTGAAGGATCAACAATGAGAACAGGCTTATCACTCAAGGACTTCAAGTTTTATAAATCTGGGATGGGCCTGATAATCTGCATTTTTCAAAAGTCCTCCCTGTCCCTTCCCCATCATGTGATTCTGATGTAGGTAATCTGCAGGTGACACTTTAAGAAACCTCACACTAGATCTAATAACTATAACATCATTTTTCTCTTTATAAAATCACAATATATTGCAATGAACTATTCTGGGCATAAAACACAAAAAGTGGATTATTTTTATTTTTCTTAAATAGAGGACTTCCCCAATCTTCCCAGATAGTTTGACCTAATGTTGAGGGCTGCAATCAAGTCAAGATGGCGCCTGGCAGTTTGCCAGGAGGAGTGGTTTGTGAGGCAACCCCAGGAGCCATTAAGATGCTGGAGATTCCTTATTGGCTGATTGCTGTATCTGGATGATGCTAATTGAGTCAAGCTGTGTGTACTCAGTTAGGTATATATACCGCTGTTGTTCCCTAATAAAGCAGTTCCCCATTCAGCCTTCAAGTTGCTTGTCACCTCTTGGTTATTTGGCCCAGCCGACTGCGGCACCTATAATTTAATCACCTTATAAGGAAGTTCCTTTGTTTCCGTCATCAATCCAAGCCATCATTTAAAAGCACATAGGTAAATGATACCAGACTAGATACTAGAAACAAAAAATGTGGAGAGGTAGGGCAAATGAGCAGTCTCATAAGTAATTGTTGAGACTCTACATTGGTACTACCTCTACAGCAAATATTTAAACACGCATTTAAAAATTCAAACTTTAGATGCCAACATTTTTTTACTGTACAAGGTTAGTCATTGCTGTACTTTCTTGAAAAGAACGAAAGTTAATTGGGAAATCTGTGAATCAAGATAATCATAATAACAAAAGTCTGAGCAATAATTATTGATATTCATAACATCTTCACCAACTCATAGTTAATATCCATAATCAGCATAATAGTTAATGATATTCACTCAAGGAAGGTATGCCTTGAGTAAGGCCTGTAAGTATCTAAAGAAAAATCAAAGGGAATTTGTTTAAGTTAATGTCAGTGTTTTAAGGTCAGGTGTATTCACATGCAGGACTCTTTTTAGAGTTGAACTTGGATCTAAGTCATCACCCATGGGGTGGACATTCCTCTGAAATTAAGGTATAGGTAAAATTCACAAAAGGTCTTCAGCTGCTGACACAGCTGAAGAAAAGCACATTAACCAGGCAGGACCCCACAAAGACATGAGGCCTATTTACATTGTCAGAAGACAGCTGCTAATCAAAATGTAAAAATGAGTTTTGGGATTCAAAACTTTAGGGGCAGAGTATTAGAGGAGGATCTAGGGGCAAAGTGATACTTATCAAAAACTAGAGTTTTTTTTTTTAAATTTTGCTATCTCAAAATAGAGGTTTTTTTTTTTTTCATTGTGCTATCTCCTAGTGTTTGTCCCTATACATAACTATTGTCTGGTCTTTTCGTTTAACTTTACATAAAAAAGACATTCTCTGTTTCTATGTAGTCTTAATAATCATCAGTTTGATGTCTCATATTCTACCAGGGATGTGGCATAATCCTGTGGCTATTTTTCTGTTTCTGGGACTTCATTTTCAATACCATATATAGTTCTACAACAAAGGTCATTATGCACACATGCTTTTGTTACTAATAAATCTTATTTTCCAAATAGCTAACATTTGTTGAGTGTTTACAGTTTGGCACTGAGCTATTCCTTTTATGGGCATGGTTTTAATTAGTCTTTACAACAACGTGGTACTTTTATTTCATTCACAAAGGAAGATACTGAAAAACCAGCCTCTATCTCAGAGCAAAGCCTGTCCAAGGAAGGGAAATGGCCTTTGTCCTTGGAAAAACCCACAGAGCACTCCTAAGCACATCCCCTCCCTGCTAAGTTGTTTATCTACAAATAACAGGAGAGATCTGCTGAGCCAGGTGTCCCTGACTCAGTCAGGCTAGGTGGGGATCCATAGCAGCCCCCTAGCAGCCACCAATCAGCATGAGACAGGGAAATACCTGGGATGCCAGATGACCCTCCCAGTATTTTATGGTGGTTGATAACAAGTTGGGAAACCATGAAGTTCAGCACGTACACCCCTCTTGGCTCAAACCAATCAGTTCAAATGAATACCCATTTTGTACTGACCAATCACCCCTACCCAACTTGTTCCCGCCAGTGAATGTGTTAATCATGTTTTAGAATTGTTATTTGATTTTCCCGCGGTGTGTAATGATTTGCTATGATGTATGTGAAGTCCCTGCCCTCTCCAAAGAATGTATAAAACTGCTGCAAACCCTGGGCTCGGGGCCTCTCAGCGTCACCAGTTGCTGTGTGTGCGTGCAGAGGACTGAGCTAGCTCGCAATAAACACCTCTTTGCTGCTTACATCGATCTTGGGTCTCTGGTGGTCTTGTTACCGCTGTTGACCGGTGACGAGTTCTTGCTTCCCCAATGTTGAAGAATAACACCAAAGAAGCACGCCGAGGCAAGGTCAGAGTAGAAATTAGAAGTTTATTAAAGGACAGCAGAAAAGACTTCTCCCGGAGGAAGAAGGGGACCCAAGAGGTGGAATCCGTGGAAGGGATGTTGTCTCCCCTTTTTATAGTTCTTTCAGTGATGGAATGTAGGTGGGAAGGCCCGAGGGGTGGGACACAGGTGGGCCAAAGAAGTAATCTGGTCAGGAAGGACTTGAGTCAGCACCTTTTTGCTGGGGGCTGTTCATTAACATTTCTTTGAGGTGGACTTTGGCCTAGGGCCTTTTCGGGACTTCATTAACATTCCTTGAGTTGTCCTGCATTTCCCGGAATCATTGCCAGCATGGCCTCCATTTTAGATTTCACTCGGTATTAGACCCGGATTTATCTAACTACACTCACTACCTAACTTTAAATCTGGCTTCAGTCTTTGGGGGTCCCGAATTCGAGCATAACAATACAACTTCAGGATAGTTAAGTAATTTACCACTTATTAGCCAGAACACATGAGACCTAAACCTAAGTCAATCTGTTGTGGTTTAGACAGGAGATGTACCCCAGAAGCTCGCGTTTAAGACAATGCAAGCTAGTTCAGAGGTGATATGATTAGATTATAGGAGCTTTAACCTAATCAGAAGACTAATCCACTTGAATGGATTAACTGGGTGATAGCTGTAGGCAGGTTTCATGTGGCTGGGAGAACTAGGTCACTGGGGGCATACCTTTAGGGGTCATATTTTATCATTCTCTCTGCTTCCTGGTTGCCAAGTCCTGAGCTGCATTCTTTCTCCATGCCCTTCCGCCATGATATTCTGCCTCACCTTGG